TTTCAGAGTGCAAATTGTTAAACGTCTCAGGCACATAATATTCGCGCGTATTCCTACCATATCGAGAACGGACAAAAGGGACTTTAAATGTTTCTTGAAAACGAAGGGAATGAGTAGGTACGTTTTCTCTCTTGAAATCCTCAGACCAGAAGTAACGTTGGACAACAGTTCGAGTAAAAAGACTTCTGAGACATGGGAATTGCAGGAAATTAAACAGGTCACTGTCGTCAGGCATTTGCAAGCCGTAAGGTACAGCTTTCAAAATATTTTTTAAAATGCTATCTATTTTACCATGCCACTGGGTAGAACAGTTTCCAAACACTGTAATCCCATACCTTAACACGTATATGCAAGTGTGTGGGCGATTATTTTACGTACAGAAAACGGCATAAGCGATTTGGTGTTATATAAAAGACAACTTACACTCCTTAGCTTTGCACAAAGTGACACGAATTGAGCACTCCAAGTTAGGCCGCAGTCAAATAAAATTCCAAGGTACTTGACAGATTCAACATATTCCAATGAAACACACTTGCATGGTACACATTTTGAGTGATGTAAAATAAAAAGGAAATCCAGACGCAGGTATTTAAGGGGATTATGGAAACAGATAAGTTTAGTCCTATTTACGTTAACATCCATAAGGTTTCGCTGAAACCAGTCCATGACTGTAGTCGCAGCACACTGTAGTGAGCGGGCGGCATTTTCGAAATTAAGATGTCGAGTGACTATTACGGTATGGTCCGCATATTGATAAAGCTTGGCTTCAGAGAGAGATGTTGAAATATCATTAACGAACAGATTAAATAGAAGTGGAGACAAAACTGAGCCCTGGGGTACCCCTGCTCTTAGCATTGTTCGCGGACCGCGGGACTCAGCTGCAATTACAAGCTGTGAGCGATTTAAAAGGTAATTCGACAGAAAAGAAAAAAAAGGGCCTCGAAAGCCGTAGCTATGCAGCTTTCTCAAGAGGACTGAATGGCTGACCGTATCAAACGCCTTCGATACGTCTAAAAAAAGGGCACGGCTAACAATATTTCTTTCAAAACCGGAAAAGAGTAAATCAGAAAAATCTTCCAGCAGAGGTTGAGTTCCTTTTCCCCGAATAAAACCAAACTGACTAGGTGAGAGGACATTATGCACGTCTAGAAAGGATGACATAACTTGGAATACGTGCTTTTCTAGGATTTGAACAATAATTGGTAATAAAGAAATTGGGCGGTAATTTTCAATCTTATTCGCTCCACCTCCTTTGTATAAGGGCCTTACAATAGCAGTTTTTAGTTCATCTGGAAGAACGCAACTCTCAATAAAGCCATTCAACCAATGAAGCAATACATGCTTGATAACCTCATAATTTCTGCGGAGATCGGAAACTCGGATGCCGTCAATGCCTGGAGGTTCGGAAGACTTGAAACTAAACCGTAACGAGTGTAGGTCGACATCATTGAGCGGTGGAAGAAAAGCAGAAGCTGCGACGACATTGTCGAAAGTGATGGAAGAATCTCTGCTTTTACCAGAAAAGGTCGCAAAAAAACTGTTGAAAGGTTTGGACCGAAGTTTTTTTTCGAAACGTTATCAACAGAACTTGTAGAAGGGTTGCCACAAAACTCATTGACGAGAATCCAAGTCTGTGTCATGTTCGAGCGAGACTCTGAAACTTTTTTCTGAAAATACTTTCACTTTGCCGAGCGAATCATAGCATTTATCATGTTTCTGCAAATTTGATAGTTCGATTTAAGTACAGTATTACTAGGCGAACGCCTATATCGAGCCCACAAGTTATTCTTTTCCGCTATTGCCGCCAAAATGTCTGCATTCAACCAGTAGTGATTAGGCCGACGTCTTTTAACGCAGATTTCTTTTCTTGAGGAAACGTAAAACATATTAATGACATGAGCGAACTTTTGGTATATGTCCGTGGAACTAACTGATTGAAGAAACCCATTCCAGTCGAAGGAAGAAACAAGACGATCAAATTTAGCGGTGTCAATAGCAGATGTTCTAGTGCCCAGTAAGCTATTTTGCGGGGAAGGGTTAACATTGGACCACCGACATGAAATAAATAATAATAGTAATAGTAGTAATAGTAATAGTAATAGTAAATTTATTTACGCTGTGTTAGTTCAAAACAGAAGAAGGCAGGTTCGTCTAAGCCAACAAGGGCTTGTGGGACTGAACCTAAAGGTTATCATGATTCACAGGAGAGTTTCAGAAAGTAATAGAAAAATGACAAAAACACAAGGCAATAAAAAAGAACCAGTTCAGAGTCACACTTCATCAAAAGTCAAATTTCAAAGGGTCAAGTTCATGTCAAGCAGATTAATAGAGTATTAGAAAATGAACACGAACGTGTATTGCAGAGAAGCTGAAGTAGTTACTCGTATAGCAAGACGTTAGAGTCTGCCACTCACATACAAATAAATGAGAACAATAAATGATAGACAAGATAGTTTCTGCGCGAAACAATAAATAATTTACATAAAAATGATCACTTTGTTTCTTCGTTGATAAATATATTGCGTAATTCTTTTTTAAGTTTTTTTTTTTTTTTTTAAAGCAAAGTTCGAGAGACTTGGTGGTACCTCGTTGAAAATGTGAGGGACATAAAATGAACGCATGTTTTTCCCATACCGTGTATAACATGTTGGAACGGCGTAGAGTGGAACTTTCCGCAATTGCCACGTGGCGGGGTGAGGAGATTTAAAGTCGTCCTTCCAGTTGTAATTAAGCAGTACCGTCTCTAGGAACAAAGATCGAAAGTTCGGCATCGATAAAGTTTGAAATAAATCTAAATTGGAAACACTCATGCCATAGCACACATTTCTCAAAACTCCTCTTAAAATACCGTTCACTTTTTTGTGCCATAGTCTCGAGCATTGGCCAAATACAGTTATGTCATAGCGCAAATGTGTGTAGGCTAATGAATAAGCTACGCGCTTGCGCAAACCGAAAGGCATGAATGTTTTGATGTTATAGAGGAAACAGGAGACACTCCTAAGTTTAGCACAGATTTTAGTGAGATGCGAATTCCATGATAGATCAGAGTCAAAGAGAATGCCAAGATATTTCACTGTGTCAGAATATGGAACTTTATCACAATGGCACAGGAAACAATTAGATTTGTGTAAAAAAAGTGGAATATTTAGCGAAACAACTTTCAAAGGACTGTGGACGCATACGAGCTTTGTTTTAGATACATTTATAGCAATCAGATTTTGATTATGATTTGATATAATTGATTATATTTGATATAATCATAGAATGAAGAAGATGTGATGGACCTCAGCTGTTTTGATTGATGCGGCTCTAAATTTCGCTGCTTTTAACAACCAAGCAATCCGACCGCCGTCTTTTACGTGAATGAAGACCACTGGTTATTCCTGCTCTACCGAATGCATTATCCGCTTCGCCTGTGGAGGTCTTAGGAACACCAGCAGGCTACGATCTGGTCACACGGCAAGTACCAACCTCCATATTGGGATCTCTCGGCTCGTCTGTTGCAGTCGCTGCGGGTCGTCACAGTAATCGTTCCATTGTCACACGGCGAGCAACACTTTAATATTTACACCGCTGAGAATAATACATCAACATTCGAAAGCTTGCAAGGTCAGAACGTTCAATCGTTCACGTTCATCGTCGTCGTCGTCGTTCTCTTCTCTTTTTTTCCCCCTTTTCGTACGCACGTGTCGGGGCAGCTTAGCAGACTTCTTTCTTTTCTACTTCTACTCCCTGTTCGTCTAACGCCAACAGAGGTTTGTCAGACGATAGTTGCAACACTCTCCCCACCGAATGGGTTCGCCCATTTTAAATTTCAATTACTTCTATTGGATAAAGCAATTGTACCGGTCGTTTCAGCAACAATCCCCTGTCTAAACGCACGACACATGAACGAATCTTTCCATCCCGACCCAAAAAGACTTCTTCAATCCTGCCCATCCTCCACAGCAAACGTGGAAGCTGCTCCTTAAGCAGGACAAGCTGTCCAACCTCCATGTTTGTGGATTTCCGTTGCTTGCTTTCATAGGCGGATCGGAGCTCTCTTAGATACTCCGATCGCCACGTCTCCCAAAATCTGTTCAGAACCTCCTTTCTGCGTCTCCAAAGCTGACGGAGCACCTCAGGTGACGAAGCGAAGTCTTTTTTCTCCGCCACCGGAAGCGCCGTCAGCCTTCGTCCCGTGAGGAAGCTTGCAGGAGTGAGCGACTCGCCCTCGTCGATCTCATTGTAGACAACTGTGAGAGGCCGTGAATTCACTACGGCTTCAATCTCGCACAGAACTGTATGTAATTCTTCCGAGTCGAAGCATTTTTTACCGATCACTTTCCTGAGCCCAACTTTCACCGATCGGACGAGTCGCTTGTAGAAGCCTCCCCACCATGGTGCCCGCTCAACAATATAGCGCCACTCAATATTCGCGTTGGCAAAGTGGTCTACCACCTCTGGATGTCGGAGCGTCTTCCAGAGTTCGGCCAAGTCTTTGGACGCCCTCTTGAAGGCCAGCGCATTGACCGAGTACACGATGCGACACAAACCCCTTCGCGACACGAACCTTCGGAACGCAAGCAGGAAGCTTTTTGTCGAAAGGTCCGGCACGAGCTCCAAGTGCACCGCGCGCGTGACAGCACATGTAAACAAGGCAATGTATGACTTATGCGTGAGTTCATTTTCTCGCACGTACATCGGCCCCGCAAAGTCTATGCCGACTACCTCAAAGGGATCAGCTTGCGTGGTTTTTGTACCCGGCCAAGGTCCCGTTGGAGCACTGGCAGGAGTGGCACTGAACCTCTGGCAGGTAACGCAAGCATGCACCACCTTCTTCACCAATTGTCTTCCGCGGATGATCCAGTATCTCTCGCGAAGCTGCATGAGAGTGTCTCGTGGCCCCCCGTGCATCATCTTTCGGTGAGCTTCGATGGTCAGCAAGGTAGAATACCGGTGCTCGTTGGGCAGCACGATGGGTTCACGTTCATCCCTAGTAAGGTTTGCTGATCGGATACGGCCTTTGATCCGGAGCACTCCCTCTTGGTCGACGAACGTTTGGAAATTTTGCAAGGCTGAACCAGGCGGCGCTACTTTTTTTCCAGCTGCACAACTAATCTCGGAGGCAAACGTCGAGCTTTGTGCCTTCTTTATCCAAACGGTTTGTGCTGCTTGGATCTCCTCAGCGCTCAGCGATCCAGTAGTTTTGATTGGTGATCGAAGGTTATGGACAAACCGAAGCACCCAGGCTGTTGTTCGGTGCAGTCTCGCAGCCGAACTGAATCTCGAAATGTCCATGAACTCCACGGATGTGTCTGCAGGCACTAGCGTGACTACAGCTTTCGAAGCTTTCTCCTCGAGCTTGTCGTGGGAAAGCACCCCAACAGTTTCTTCGGGCCATTCGGTTGCTGGAAGCTGTAACCAAGTTGGTCCGGTCCACCAGAGTGCAGCAGAAAGCAGTCGATCAGCTTTCAGCCCTCGGGTCATCAAATCTGCGGGATTTGCCTTACCCGGGCAGTGGTGCCACTTTGCGTCCCCTGAGTTTCCTTGTATCCCCAGTACTTGGTCTTTGACAAACGTTTTCCATCTGGAGGCCTCTCCTCTTATCCAGTGCAAAGTGATCATCGAGTCCGTCCAAAAGTGAACTTCGTCCACCTGGATTTCGAGGCATGTCTTGACGTACTTCAGTAGTCTCGATCCGATCAAGCTTGCCATGAGCTCCAGTCTCGCCAAGGAAATTTCCTTCAGGGGGGCGACGCGGCACTTAGCGAGCAATATTGTCGCCTTCTTCGTTCCCCTGTCGTCAGTTGAACACAGAAAAATAATCGATCCGTAGGCGGAAGAGCTGGCGTCCGAGAACACATGCAACGCTCTGTGTATGATTATGTTGCTCAGTCCGCTGTCGTAGTACCTGGGCACGCTGATCTGACCCAGTTTGGTGAGCTCGTCGCACCAACTCTCCCAGTCTCCCATCAGTTCACCCGGCAGTGTATCATCCCAACGCAGGTTCCGCTTCCAGATCTCTTGAAACAAAATCTTGCCTCGGTTCACGAAAGGAGAGAGGAAACCGAGTGGGTCGTAGAGTCGCGCCGTGGTCTGGAGCACGAATCGCTTGGTGTTTCTGCGTTGGCTTGTAAACTCGACCACCTGTTCTGTTGTGAAAGACAGTTTGTCTTCGTTCGACTCCCAGGTTATACCCAGCACTTTCACCACTCCCGTCAGCTGTCCAAGGACTCTCTCTTCGGATACGTTGTCCTCCAGCATTTTCTTTAGGACTGCGCTGTTGGACCCCCACTTATGAAGCTTCATCCCAGCTGCCCCGAATATTTTGGTCGCCTCGGTGTAGAACTTCTGGGCCGCCTCCTCACTTTCTGTGCCGGTCAAGAGGTCGTCCACATACACAGATTTTTGCAGTTTTTCTGCTGTTTGTGGGAACTCGCTTTCCATAACCTTGTAATGGTGCTGTAGGGTTGCTCCCAATAGGAACGGACTGCATGTGGTACCGAAGGTTACCCTTGTCATACGCCAGACCTCGACTTCTGGGGTAGGTTGGTCTGGGTGAGGCGACTCTTTATACTAGAGAAACCGCAAGGCGTCGCGGTCCTCCTCGTGTACACCGATCTGAAGGAAGGCTTTCTCGACGTCTGCAATTAGTGCTACCCGATGTTGCCTAAATCTCAGGAGCAGGGCCACCAGGTCTGGATTCAGGTTCGGACCGCCTTCAAGGTTGTCGTTCAATGATCTAGAATTCGGTCCGTGCGAAGAGGCGTCGAACACGATCCTCATTTTTGTCGTGCTGCTACCCTCTCGTAGAACAGCTTGGTGTGGCATATAATAAGCACGTCCTTCGGAACCGTTTATCTGTTCAACCTTCTCGGCCATCCCGTTATCTGCGTACAGCCGGATAGCTTGGTCATACCTTCGCATGAGGTCTGGGTTTTTGCTTAGCTTCCTTCGTACACTTTCGAGGCGCTTCCATGCCACATCTCGGTTGCATTCTAGGTGCACGTCTGTTTTCCAAGGGAGGCCAACCTCGTACCTTCCCTTCGTCTTGGTGATGCTTGCTTCGAAGCGTCGCATAATGTCATTATCTGTCTGATCTCGGTCCACCTCTTCGAGTACTCCTACACTTTCAAGCTCCCAGAATCTCCTCAAGATGGCTGGCTCTTGTTCGTCTGCAGCAGATATGAGCACTATCACCTGGGAACAGCTGACAGTATCGGAAGTCAACTGTGTGGATCCATGTATTGCCCAGCCAAAGGCGGTTTCCACTGCGGTGAAGCTGTTGCTCAGGCGTTGGATCCTTCCTGTTATACATTCCCAGTAATGTTCCGATCCCAGTAGTATGGCTACTCCGCCACAGTCCAGTCCGTTCAGGTCGTCACCCGAAGTAAGCCCGAGTTCTTCCATTTTTTTCAATAACGTCCTTCTCAGGGCTAGGGAGTTCTTGCTCGGAGATGAAATGTGTCTCGAGGGCGTCAATCCTGCGTTTCTTGCCACTGTGTTGGTTGCGCAGAATCACTTGAACTCTGCGGTACGTTCGTTCCCTATTCTTGCCTCCGAACACTCCGACAGTCAGGATCTCGGTCCCGAGCAGTTTGCAGCCGAGACTCCTCGATAGCTCTTCCGTGATGAAGGAGCGCTGGCTACCACTGTCAAAGAGAATCCGAGCTCGCTTTCTGCTGTTTTTGCCTTCCACCCACGCAGTAACCGTTTGTAAGAGTACTGTCGGCTTGTTTTTCTCGTTTACATGTAGGCTAACCGGTGCTTCGTCTTTATTTTGCTGTGGGTTCAATTCGTCGGCAGATCGTCTCGGAGTATAATCTGGGTCGCACATGCTGGAGGTATGTCTGCCTCGGCACCTGTTGCAGCAGGGTGTACCTCGACACATCCTTGCCATGTGCCCCACTTTCGTGCACCGGAAGCATCTCTGGGCGTTTTGTAGCCTGCGCTTCTTTTCAGCTAGCGTTATCCTTGAGTTGCAGTCGGGTGTTCCATGCTTTTTTGACTTGCAGAAGAAACATTCCAGACCTTCCACAACACCATGCAGAGCCGTAGCAGTAGAGGTTCGTAGCATGTCGGGATCTGTAGACTTCTGCTGCGCCTCGCGCTTGGTGAAATGGGGTGTGGATTTACCACCAACGTCCTCTGGCCGTTCTTTAGATGCCTTTTCCTGACTCTCCACCTCGATGTGCAGAAACTCGAGGAGAGTCCGAAGCGCTCTCAGATGTGTGCGATCTGTGGTAGGTCCTAAACTTGTCTGTGACGCTGGTACAGATCTACTGGCGGTGGCACTCTCGGCTTCCCCCTGCAGTGTCTTTCGGTGGTATTCGATGGTCATTTCTCTTGGGAGCGCTCGAAGGAGTACCGGGTAAAGCATTGAACAGTACGATTCTTTGCTCACGCCCAGTGCCTTGAGACCCCGGATGCGAGCTTGCAGGCTATCATACAATCGCCGCAGGATTCTGACGTTGCGCTGAGGTGGAACACGTTGTATGTCCATGAGGCTTTCCATGTGATCCTGGATTAGCGCTTCTTGATTCCCGAACTGCCGCTGTAGGAGATCGATGGCGTCCGCGTAGCACTCTGCTGTGGGCTGAAGTCCATCAATGGCTGCCGCTCCATCCCCTGTTAGTGCCGCCTTTAAGTAGTTAAACTTGTCGCACAGTGTCAAGTCAGGGTTCTGGTGGATTGCGGCATCAAACTGGTTCTAGAAAGGCAGCCAGTTTTTCAGGTGTCCGTTGAACTTGATCAGTTCCAGCTTTGGAAGTCTGACCTTCCTTGATGTTGATGCTGCCAGTCTGTCCCCGTTTTCGTTCAACTGACTGGCACTGCCGGAATGCCCCGCTCCCGTCGAGCGCCTTAACTGGCTCTTCAGCTTGGTTAAGTATATGACAATCTTGTCTGCGTACTCGACGACTTGCCCGAATTCTGCATCTCCGTCTTGTTCCGAAACAAGCGGTTCGATGGCGGAGTCGACGTTGTTAAGTTGGCCCTGAGCTAGTGTCAGACGCTCGATGAGCATCTCTAGCTCAGTTACGTTCGGTCCTGGGGCCCTTAGCAACCCTTCCGCGTCGTTCACCAGTCGAGTTACCTGTGACCGGATGGCCTTGCGCTTTTTCTTGAGGACTTCCATTGTACGTGAAGAGTCACTCACGTTCCAGCTTCGAAGTATCCGCAGCGATGTCAGTTCCCGGGATTCGGCACCAAATTTTTGTTGCAGTCGCTGCGGGTCGTCACAGTAATCGTTCCATTGTCACACAGCGAGCAACACTTTAATATTTACACCGCTGAGAATAATACATCAACATTCGAAAGCTTGCAAGGTCAAAACGTTCAATCGTTCACGTTCATCGTCGTCGTCGTCGTTCTCTTCTCTTTTTTTCCCCCTTTTCGTACGCACGTGCCGGGCAGCTTAGCAGACTTCTTTCTTTTCTACTTCTACTCCCTGTTCGTCTAACGCCAACAGAGGTTTGTCCGACGTTAGTTGCAACATCGTCACCTTGTGATTGCTGAACACTGTTGGTCTTTCACCGAGCTAAATAAACGTCACAGTTGTCATCTGGACCCCACATACCCTACAGACAAGCGCATTCACTCTACATATGGGACTTTCAACCGTTTCGGAGTGCCATTCAAACTGAGGGTCCTACATGTGTTCTGTGACCTGGTGCCGACGGTAGAATTCGTCCCTCATCACGCGCAAAGCTCTCGCGGTGCATTCAATTTCACCGGTGAGCCTGGAACTGTTCTTCTCAGTTTTTATTCTTTACGTTGGTTTCGCTGTGCTCTTTCTCGTGCCTCTTTGTCGTCGTTGTCCTAACACCATGGCCGATGCCTCGATTTGTGGAGCTTGCTTCAGCCCTGTGCCAAACGACGGCAGATGCATGAAATGCGCTGATTGTTCTCGGCAATATCATCTCGGAAAGAAGTGTTCAGGGATAGCTGATGGTACATTTAAGGGTATGTGCGCCGCGAAACTTGAGAAATGGCGATGCCTTGCGTGCCGTGAAGGAGCCGGGAAACATAATTTAGTATCAGACTCACAATCGTCTCTAGCCGAGCCCTCCGCGTTCTTGGCACAGCTATCAGAAGTGAATGAGAAACTCGACCGTCTCCTTTCCTGGAAGGACACCGTCGACAATCTCCATAACCTGCACCCCAAGATCGACTCTTTGTTGTCCATGAAGCTCACGGTGGACACGACGCGCGTCACCATGACCGACATGCAAGAGTCTCTGACTTGTGTTTCGTCACAATATGATTCCCTTATAAACTCGGTGAAAACGCAAGAGAAACAGGTCAAGGAGCTCCAAGCAGAAACGAATGCCTTACGGACATTGGTAGCTGACCAAGCGCTCGAGATTCAGCAACTGAGAGACGCCCAAAATTACGCTGATCAATCCAATCTTCTGGCGAATCTAGAAATTCATGGCATTCTATTTTCTGCCCGCGAGATTCTCGAAGGAATCATCACCGACTTGGCAGGGCAATTGAACATCGAGGGTTTTCAGCCGACTCATGTCGAAGATGCACACCGCCTACCTGCAAGGCGTCATTCCATTCCTCCCATACTGGTTCGCTTTTCGTCCCTTCATCTGAAAGAACGTTGGATGATGTGTCGCTCCCGCTTGAGTTCTTTACCTCGTGAAGATTCTCAGCCCAGGATTTACTTCAACGACAACCTCACGGACACCAACAAACGACTCTTTTGGCAGGCAAGAACAAGAGGAAAAGAAAAAGGGTACAAATTCGTATGGGCTCGCCATGGTCAGATTTTTGCAAAGCAAACCGGAGATTCACCAGTGCTCCGCATCACCAACGCGGCTGCTTTGGAGCACATTGTGTAGACTTCGATGCTCATGACTTCTCGATTTAAAGATCTTAAGACTTACTCGCAAAGCTTTCAATCAACACCAGGAACTTCATTTACCTTACTTCATGTTAACGTAAGAAGCCTTCATAAACACTGGGACGAATTTAGATTAGTCATAAACTCTGTGCTCCCGATAGCAGATGCATTTGTTCTAACCGAAATTAATATTCGCAGCCAACATATAGAGATTTTCTCATTACCCGGTTTTAGTAGCTGCTTCCACACCCGCGACAACAAGCGCGGTGGCGGAATTGCAGTTTTCCTCAAAAACTCATTGTTATATTCTGAAATAACTGTTTCGTTCCTTACTTGTGAATCAGTCGCACTGCACATCTTCACCTCCATGTACGACCTCTACTTACTAGCTTTCTATAGGCCACCCTCCGAAAGTGTTGCCAATTTTCTCACAGAGTTACGTAATTGTTTACAGTCT